GACTCACTAGGCGTAAGCCTAACCCTCTCTCTTTCTTGTTATAATTACTTTTAGGTTCCTTTGTCGATGGGGCTCTAAAGGGTTGAGAGGAGCGCGGTTCGTGAAAGACTCTTTTGTAATTATAGTCTTGTCATGTAAACACTATACTATTACCCTTTTGTTGGGTGAATATAATATTGAGTCTTGGTCCTCGTTAAATAGTTTCGGTTTAAATTATCTTATCCCTTTTTTTAGGGTGTTATACCTCCCAAATAGGTAAAGGTCGGTTTAGACCGCCTTCCATATCTCCCTCCACCTCATGCATGAAAACTCACATACATCCATGCATAGCACATGCATGCATAATATAATCATATATATATATATATATATATTCACACAAATATATATATATATATATATATATTCAATTAATTCACAAATTCTCATACCGGCATGTATCAATTATCATGTTATCACGTAATTATTAAATTAGATAATCACGTATTAAATACCTTGGATAATAACCAGGATCTGGTTATCAAAAATATAATAAGAATAGTTGTTACACGAAAGTAAATAAATAAATAAAATTGGTATGAACACAATATGAACAGTTTGTGAACAATAGTTTCTTCATTATGAACACATTCAGAAGCAAACCAATATTGAGATATGCAGCTAGTGTACATATGAACACAATATGAACACATTCAGGAGCAAGCCAATGTTGAGATATGCAGCTAGTGTACATATGAACACAATATGAACAGTTTGTGAACAATAGTTCCTTCATTATGAGCACATTCAGGAGCAAGCCAATGTTGAGATATGCAGCTAGTGTACATATGAACACAATATGAACATTTGTGAACAATTCTTTAGCAATTACATATGAATTCAAATTCCGATTGCAGTCGTAGACGATTTTAACCTTTTCATTCTCAATGTTGTCGATCTGTTTTCCAATAGGTTTATCCATTATACTCGGACGATATCAAAATCTTTACAATCAGAAATTCTTTAACAATTACAAAATCAATATCATTATGAATAGAATAAACCAAAATTACAAAACATGAACACGTATAAAAAAATATCAATATTACATATCAATTATTGAGATTTTTAGATTTGTAACTCCCAATTAATGATTTGGGTGTTACATAAATGACAAATTACTTAATTACCCTTGTCATTTATATGAGTTATATGTGAACCTAAAGAAAAGATGGAATATGATTGGTTGAGCTTGTTTAACAAAGTTAACACAAAAATCTTGGTTAGTATTTGAACCAAACTATATATATATATATATATATATATATATACACACACACACACACACTTGAGATCATGTGAGACCAAAGGTTATTCGTGAGACCCATAAGACCAATTCTCAACCTTTGGATTGGATCTATAATCTAAACATCCATAATCAAAAAATTGTCATGAGATTTCTCAATAATCACAAAATTGCTACCGTGCAACTTTAGACCATTAGATCATTAGCTTATAAAGTTATCAATGAACATAAATTGGTCTTAAGTGTTGTTGATCATCTCTCTCAGTGATTTGATGATAATCCTTTTTCTTTTTCACGTTGTATTTGTGTTTCTGTATTTTCAGTTCCAGCGATCTTCACTGAGTATGTTCAGTGATCGCTGAAGAACTTGCTTTGTAAATCTTTCAGAAACAGCAATACTTCAAGAAGACAACACTCACACCAAAGAACCTTCAGCAAACGTCGAAAACTGAAACTGAAGATTAGAGACCGACGAGTACGTGATCTGAAGCGGTACTCAATGATTACAAGCCTGTCTATATATGTGTGAAGACTGCTCTAGCTTCAGTGAATGATGATGAGACCTTCAGGTCATTCCAGCATTCGGCGATCAAAGGAAGCTTGCTTAGCACGA